ACGCCATGTGCACTGACCAGCATGATGGGCCTCTAAACGACTTCTGTTCTTCAATCGCGGACTTAGCTGATGAAGATGGTCTGGAGAGTATCAGTCGGATCATGGTTTCTTTCGTCAAGCGCCGGTTCAGGACCAAAGACGATTTCCTGCGCCAGTCCATTAGCAGTCTACGTGACCACTACCCTCCCGATGACTGGACAGATATCGCTACTCTGTTGTTGAGTTTGGTGCTCAACAAGGAGAGATGGCTCCAAGTGTCCTCAATGCACGTCCTTAAAGTCCTATTCCAGCAACGTGCTTTGCAGTCATTGGGTACAGAGCATCTCATGCCCTTATTGCGGTTGGTGGAAGGAGAGTTGGCGACGCAAGCTCTTGATGTATTGGAGGAGCCGACGAAGATCACTGGAGGACTCACAGCCAAACAGGTTCTTCGTATGAGCATGCACGTCTCGACGCTTGCCAGTGCGGGTGCGAGTGAGGGTGAGACAGAGATCTTTGGTGTTCCAGAAGATTCTGGCTGGTGCATCGCACGTGTATCACATCGACAAGCCCAATGTCGCGCCAACGTCCTTGCGGTTGCACTTATGTTCACGACATCGTCGCGCATATCGAAGGTGTACTTCCAGCCAGAGGTCCAAGAGCCCCTGTTCGCGGATGAGCTTGATGAAGACTTAGGAGTCCTGGTTCAGGACCTGCATGAACTAAGCGAGTTCTTCCAGAAGACGAAGCCTCAGACGCAACTCCTGCCCAGTCAGCAGCTGGAAGATAGAGTCGCCTCCATTCTGGCTAGATCTACAGACAACTCCAACGACATGCCTCAGACTCCATTCGGAGATGTATTTCAGATCTGTGGAACACGGGACCTTTCGGACGAATCCAGCGACGAGTCTGACACTGAGTCCGAGGTTGACGCTTTCAAGTATGACTCTCCAGCCTTTTACCGTACCGCTCCCAATGGCATGGGATTGTATTAACTTATCTCACGCTTTCGTTGTTATCGATGCATTATAAAAACATTGTAGTCTACGTACAATATGGCAGCTCTAGAGTTATGTACCAGCATTCACAGATAAAAATTCCCGTATGATATGAAGCCTAACAACGTTCGAAGACCCGGTAAAGATCTGGTAAGCTCGCCACCTGCACGACATCGTTGTCCAACAGGAATTTGGGAGCTGCCAGGTACTTGCGCATCGCCTGAAATAGGATGTTTTGTATGCGCCATGCTTCAGATTTCAGATTTTCTTGTTCATCTTCGTCAGAGGCGGGCGCTAATCCGACGGATAGCGGGGCTGGGGAATAGAAGTACGCTAACTCGCGCATGAAAGAACCAAAGCACTCTTGCTCAGATTCCCAGAGAACCTAAGGCAAATTAGTATCTGTGAATGGCAATTTGGCATTGAGGCATACCTGAGGTCCAAGACGCATGAGGAACATGGGCAACTTGTCGAGGTTAGGAGTGTACTCGCGAAGGAGGTGTGGAAGTGTCTTAACATCGCCAGTCTCTGAAATGTCCAAGGAGAAATATTCGAGCAGCATCTCTCGGCGATCCATCAAGGTCTTGACTATTCGCTATGAAAGGATGTTGAGTAGATCTGCCAAAGTACTGAAATTTGATCATACATCGACAATCTCGTCCTCGCTCATGCCACTACGTGCTGTGTCTTCTTCCGCATCGACTGCAAACTTGACAAGCATCCGAAGAGATGGGGGAGGATCAAGTTTGAGTCGGTTGTAGTCTCCAAATTGCAACAACGCAAGCTGATAGAACATTTCCTCTCTGCGATAACTACATCAACACAAGCCTTCGAAGAAGCGCAGGAACGCACGCTAGTGCAGCATGATTGACCATGTAAAGGTTCTTGTTGTGTTGAATCAACGTAAGACACCTGCACAGGTCAATCACGCCGACAAATGTATGTTTCTTGATGATTTCGGTCAGGTCTACGTTTTTTGTGCGTAAGAGCATTCTCGTTGCGAAAGCATATGCATAGCCCACCATGATGTATGCGTTTGGTAGCAAGACGCCTGAGTTCCGTTATAGATGTAAAATGGCACGTCGATTCTTTGATGTCCCGTAACCGGATGGCCGTTACGGGCTCGTCGGAGTCAGTTCTCAACGGATCAGTGACTGGAATCATCGAGTCTAATGTGCGATCTTGTAGGGAAGTTCGGACTTTGTGCTGAGAAAGCACCTTCTTTGCTACTGAACAAGACTCGAATGTTATTTGCCTGAGACTTGTGCAAACGCTTACCTTGACTTCCTGAAACCCGGCGATCATCCTCTGCCTCCTCGCCATCTCCTTCCACTTCATCAGCATTACTCGCTTTTTCCTTGCCCTTCCGTGATCCTGATTGTGCCGTACCCCCAGTGAGCAGCGTCTGTCAATGAAGATATTCAGAGTACGGGCGTAGCATATATCTTCCGATGTACCTGATACTCGAATACCCGCGACTGACTTTGACCTGCGAGCTTCTGCTGAATGGCATCCGATATCCGCTCGATGATGGTTTCTTCATTCAAAAAGTGGACTTCGCGCTTGGTCGGATGCACGTTAACATCTACAGACCTCGGGTCGAGGTTTATGCTGTGCGAATTGTGATTTTCATATCCCACTGGTAAAATTTGGTCCTACCTCAAATATATGAAAGGAAAAGAACTTTTTGGCAGTATACCGCTGTATATGCTCTCAATAGACCGTTTTATACGATGTGACTCCACTAGACGGTCTGCATGAAGTACGCGTCAGAATTTGCAAGATAGCAATACAACAGCAGAAACCGACGATTTATGAATAACAAGAGCGCGGTCTTCTTGCCTTGGTAGTTAACGTTAGTGAAATATGCTTCTGCCGACCATGCTTCCGGATCTTCCGAATCATCCATGTCCGTGTTATCATCTGAAACAGAAGACGCCGTGACATGCAGAAGTTCTTTGGCTATGGAGTGACCGTATAGCTGACGAATGGCCTGAGATGTTTCCGAACAGGATGGGGTCGACAGTTCAGGACTCAGGGAACCAGCCTATACGATGCATTATAGGACATCATTGACGATTCTCGAAGCAACATACCTTTTTACACCCAAATGACACTTTCGGATTGTGCACAGCATACTTGGTCATTACATCAAGTATTCGCGCGTATTCTTCAGAGGAGCTTCGGAGAGCAGACATTCGAGTAGGTGTGTTATAAAACATGTCTTCGATCTGTGATGGATTGAGTGATGAGATAGAGATGTTTGACTTCTTAGGGACGTACTATGATAGTGGTTCCGTTGTTTCCAGCACAAGGTTTCGGGTCTGGTGAGTATCCCGCTTTCATCGGGACGAGACTGCCATCAAGGTAAGCAGCCCTGAAGAATTCTCGTCAGGTGTATTCGTTCCGTGCACAATGAATTATATACTCACTTCCAAGCACAGTCATTTGACTTGGTTTTCGTGATCACTGTAAGGTGCGCGACATGGGATATAGATGCCAGTGCCTCCCCTCGAAACCCATAAGTAGTCAACCTGGAGAGGTCGGAAAAAGTAGACAATTTGGAGGTAGTGAAACGCTCAGCGAGCAAGGGTAGGTCTTCTTTCTTCAAATAAGCTCAATGGAGTGCCTTGGTGCGAGTGTGAGGAAGATCGCGACATACACGAATGCCACAACCGTTATCCTGAATCTGAAGCAGCTTCATACCACCATCCTTGACGGTGACTTGAATTGAAGTAGACCCGGCATCGAGGCTGTTTTCCAGTAGCTCTTTTAGCGCAGAAGCGGGTCGGTGTATGATCTAGGGGCGAATTGTATCAGTACTTATTCGCGTCTGTACCACGATTGACCCAGTGCGTACTTCGCCTGCTGCAATTCGGTTAATGAGGGACTCATGAAGTCTCCTTATTGGTTGAGGGCCAGGCGGTTCCGGAGAAGGAGAGCGACGACTGCTTGCCATACTCAGAGTCGAGCGGTGAGTCACTGCCAGGCAGCGCAGAACGCGTGAACGCGTTTGAACTATAAACTTGTCGCTGTTCCATCACGTGATTATCACGTCACTTGCTAGGGGTTGACTAGGGGGCATCATGGGCAGGGGTCACTTTCAAATGGTCGATTGTCAGAACCAGTGAAGGCCTTTCCTTGCTTTGCAAAAAAAAAGGATTTGATTTCGGATACGGGGAATCGAACCCCGAGCTACCGCGAATCCTAAGTGAGAGGCGGTAATGTTAACCATTACACCATATCCGATACAGTAAAGTTCCGCCTGGATTGTCATCACCAAGGGCTTCGGTGCTCGTAACTTCACCTCGATGACTCAAACACCCTTAGTGCACACCTTTCCATGACACGCAATGTCAAAGCGACTTAGGCTCCCAACCAACTTGTAGGCAGCCGCGGCAACCTGGTGCTCAGTTAAGGATAAGTTGTCTTGTTGCGAATGTGCAAGGGCTTGACCAAGACAAATGCCTTACTACCTCCTTGGCTAAGTCCACTTTGTTTTCGGTTCAGAACGTTGTCGAGCAACGAGACCATAGCATACTGGTAGAAGCGGGCCCGACCGTCACCTAGAAGTAACCCACTTCAGTATTCGCATTAATTATAGTCACGGTATTCCGCGCGCTTCGCACACTCAGGCTGCGGTGCCTTCGGTTAACGAGAGACTGTAAATAGGTAAGTTCAGCTGGACTGCCGCACACGCATAACTGTTACACCACTTGAAGGTAGAACACTGGAAGCTTACCTTTCAGCATCAACGACAGCATATATACTGAGTACGGGGACTCATGTACTAAGCTAGCGTGCAGCGTGCTTACGCTGATGATGTTTTTCAGTCTTCCAAGTTGTTCAAGTTTCAACCTAAAAAAAGCAAAGATAAAAGTTCACGAGTCCTTATTAAGCGGCTCGAGAATCAAAAGGAAGAGCGACGAGCACTTGCGGGTGTATTTAGGTTACTTGAGGCTCAAGTGTTTCGACTCTTAAAACTTGGAAAGGGTGGCGTCAGCCAAAATGATCAAAGAAAAATTCGGATACGGGGAATCGAACCCCGAGCTACCGCGTTCACATCAGCTATGAGAGGCGGTAATGTTAACCATTACACCATATCCGATATGTGTTTGGTGTCATGGAAGACCTTCATAATCGGTATCAGGCCAGCTGCTTGATGGTTGATGCGTACCAAGCTAAGAGAGTAGGGCATTGCAGTATTCATGCTGTACCCAAACAAATGCCCCTCTCAAATACAGTACGCCGACACACAGTCGAGCGCCGCGTGGTATTCAAACAAATTCTACTTGATAGATAAAACCACACGACCGAAAATAAATGAGTAAGGACATAAATGAACCATCAGTCATGAGACTAACGGCCCCTACGCGTCACGAAGTTCTAGAGAAACAAAATGAGTCCATAATCTCACGAAGGAAGGAAATGCTGGCTTACGTCCAGATCCTGTGATGTCGCCACAGCAAGTACAAAATTTTTGCCCTGGTCCGTAACTATCATAATCAGAACCGTCAGGGGCCAGATCTGCATTCAACTTAATACGCACCTAGCGCAAAGATGTTGTCTTGCAAAAACTCTGCCAGTTCCGCAAGGGGCGTCAAGGGTGTTATGAGGGAGTAGTGCTGAGACGCGCTACGATTGAACTTGGTCATGTATTTACTGATGGAGTCGCTCTGAGCGTCGGATTAAGCAACTAAGGGAGTTATCGATCTAATAGCAATACTTACTGGAGATGCTGTGCCTGCTTCCCACTTTTCTTTCAGAGCAGCGACATCTACGTACCCGAGCGGACGACGATCGCGGTTGAGGACACTGAACGGGAAAGTCAGTCATTGGTGCGCGTTGAAGAAACACACTTACGGTATGTGGGAGAAGTCACGATCGTACGCTAGCTCCATTGCGCGAGAAACGGATTCGGCAGAGGGTAAACAGAATGCAGGGGGGAGTTGTAGGTCCTGACAATCAATGATGCGTTGGCTTATCTTAATTTCAAACGATAATTAATCTTATATACGCACCTCGACAACAGCACCGCGGTATTTATCGTTTGGAGGCATTGACGTGGAGACGAAGATGTTGAAGGGGACTGCGTCTGATGGGAGCTGAACTGAGGTTGCCATCTCTTGGAGGGGGATTGGATGAGTGAGTATACACACGCACCACTTAAATCGTCAAAGCAGGAATATTAATGGACTGATTCCTGTCAAATCCGAAGCGAAGGTCAAGCGAGCCGGAGAATGCCCGAGCTCATCATGTGACTTGCTGCGACTTTGTGACACTGAATATTGTGACCGAGTCGTTTCAGTTTCTTCATCCAATGACAAATTATGACATCCATCCATCATTTAGGTCGAGAGCTTTTCCACAGAAAAGTTGCGTTTTGTTGACGTATTGATGGTTTATAGCAATTGTCGTAGTGTCCATGGTCATCAACGGACATTTATGAAAATTGTTATAAAGCAAACTCAGTTTAGTCCATACGGCCAGTCAGACAGCTGCCACTGATGCTACGTCCGACCCACCGAATCAGACCCACTACCTAATAGCGGGAGAGGTTCCCTCAAAATATCAAATTTTCACTCAGCCTCTCGTAAATCGCTGAACCCCCAGCACTTGGATACTGGAATATTGTTTCAAAGTAAGCAGGCACTCTATTCTGGAATCAGACACCCGTTGTCACAATTTATTTGAAGCAGCCAGCTTATCCATTGCATTAATAGATTATGATTTGGCCATGACCTTCCTTGGTAAGCTTTGCGTAATTGCTGTATATGTAGCTGCTATCCGACTCATCAAGATGATGAAGAGCGGTGGTCGTTTCTCCGGTACGTTACCGCTTTATGATCGGATGGCGTCTAGGACCATATTAATAATTCACGGTAGTCACTCGGCTCGTAACTAGCCTGCCATGTACTACCACAGACAAGTCGATGACGCATCAACCTCTCAAAGATGTGAACGCCAAAGTCGACATTGGCTCAGGCGTTCCTACCAATCTGTTGCTCAATCGTGTAATTTTGAAAATTTCGCCCTTACCCGTGCGCCTCCCCATCATGATCGTCCGTTCATTTTCAATACATAACATTGACATCGAACCCGCCAGCCTTACTCTCTGAAGGGGAAGGGAACCTGTTATTATGGATCGATTCTGGTTGTCTACAACATATGCGTCCGTCTATGTACTCCAAGACCCCAGTCTCCTACCTGGGCCCTGATGCCAACATCTGCGCTATTCTCCCGATTCCTATGCCACCCACCTCGCCCCCTGCGCTACGCCTCACGCTAACCCTGTGCTGTGCTGGACTTCTCACACTAGTGGTCATCGGATACCCTTTCTACGTGCTTCCAATGAATACATTCGACATCATTTGCTGCGATCAGTCAAGTTGCTGATTCGAGAAACGGACAGAATCACTATAAAAACGATGGACGGCGTATATTTGCACGTACTCAAACACGCCCCATCCCGATATGACCATAGTCTTAGATGAACCCACTTTATGGTCGCTCATCAGTTTTGGTCGTCTTTCCAGCTATTTTGTAGGTACGTAGAGAGCAGTTGGGACCCCAATGGTGACTCATCTCAATATCTTTGACTATCTCTTTGCAGCTGCAAGCTCTACTGCGGTAGTATACGACTGGGGTGAGCGAGACAATATGTTTTGAGGGATCATTGATATGTATGCAGTATTCAAGCATTGACATTCGGACAAGAGGTAAGCTGATGGTTGATATCACGACCTGCGCATCTCACTAAGAATGCTCTTGACAGTTCGATTTGATCTTGGTGAGCAAAATTCTACATTAAAACCAAGCAGGATGGTGCAGTTGACTTAGGGCAGAGGCAACGTTGGTCCTTCATGACCGCTCTATATGTTTTTGTACGTCATTGTTACAAGTGTGCGGTTAGTATGTGCTAACTTCAGCATGTGTTAGGTGCGCTACTTTGGAATATTGGTTTCTGTGTGCGTTCGCAAGGCCGTCTACATAACAATGTAATGTGCTAATAAATCATCTCCACAACCAGCATCAACCTCCTGTGTAAGTATCCTCAAAAACGTGTTCGCTTCTTCTGACTGGCAGCATGCAGTGAATCTCCCTATCCCAATCACCGATGTAGTGCGTATTCTGCACCGATACCTACCATCTCCATTCAACTACTAACTACGCTCATATATAGGGGTGAGTGACATTCTCGGCCGACTTGTGTCTTCAAGATAAAGACTTCAACAGCTGTGAGTTCATTTGAAGTATTTGTTCCTCCACCAAGTAAATGGGGTTTCAGGCACTATCCTTTGGTACATACAGGCATGGACCCCTATCATCGTCAATGCCGTGTTGGGCGGTGAGCTCACCCGTAGTTTCCATATTGATATCGACTTGACTGAAATATCATTCTTGGGTATGAAGTTATCATGATTACTCGGATGAATGCCATGTATCAGGGATCCAAAAAGTTGCTCATCTTTCTTGTTGTGGCCTTGCTGGCTGTCACGATTGTCTCCGGAGTTATGGCGGTAATAGCAAACCTGGGTGTTTCAGCGCGTAAGCTTTTATTATCGACGAAAGCCTAGAGACTCATGGACATTTACCAGAGGAGGCCGTCGTTTCCGGTTACCCTACCTGCTTTACCGAAATTGACACGTCCATGATAGATATAACTTACGAGAGTATGATATCTACCGCTGTGTGGGAGATGCTCGCCTTTTTTCTTGCAGTCTGGATTGTTATAAAGCACTTCTATGAACTGCGACGATTGCAGACAGGAGCTACCATTGGAGGCTATTTCACTGTATTGATAGAGAGTCATGCATATTATTTTCTAACGTGAGTTCGGTGACTTGGATGTTATTATCTTGTTTCGCTGAAGTTTCGCATTTGCTAGCTTCGCTATCATGGCTTGCTTCACGCTTGGTGGACTGTCTCCAAATATCACGGTGCGCCGACCCTGTGGTTGGCATCTGACCGTTCTCTCATCAATTCTTTGCAGAGCTCATTGTCCACGGGGAGTGCTGTCTACGTTGGCATTTGCTTAATTGCCCAGATGTTGCAGACGTTTGTGCTGGGCCCGCGTCTGATCCTTAGCATTCGAGAATATAACGCTAAGCTCGTGACCGGGACCGACTGTAGAACAGACATGACATCCATTGCTTTCCAAGCTGGTGGAAATGCGTCGACCGGCGGAGATGTGTAGCACATCTATCTATCTACATGTTGTAAGGACGGGACGTTTAATCCCGCGGAACCAATTCGCGTCGTCGCCATGTGCGCGCCCCACATGAACTCCTCTTCTGCTCACTCCTCTGTGTGAACGCGAACAGCCATTTTGAATCAGCCAGGCCAGGCATCGACTCGGACGACAATAATTGACACCATGGAAGTTGTCGTCGATAATTGAAGACCTGCAGACTGCATGAGAGTGTCGGCGTTACAAAGGGTATATGATCATCTGCGACGCTGGTGCAGGCGAGTGTCGACGTCAGTATTGAATCTATCGATGTTTGTTTCAAGTCTTGCATGTACCTTGTACTGGCGACTAAGATGATTCGTCAAATTTGAATAGCAACAATCAGTCAAAATAGCTAAGGGTCCGAATTCGAACATCGAAGATGTTGACCGAGTCTCAGGATCACGAAGTTGGTGTCTAATATTCGATTGAGCAAACCAAGGACATATCTGACACGATCATCGAAAAACAACATTCATTAGCTCGGACGTAGGGTGTGAGATGATGCATATCTACTCACGAGCTTCTATATTCGTACCAGCAGATGCATGGCAATTTTATCGTAAATCTTGTGGGCGAGCGCTTGATCTGAGTATCAGAGAAGTGTTCAAACGTTCATGCATCCAAACCGAAACTGAATGACGAGCAACAATAAATGATTTGTCGCCGATCTTTCAGAGTGACACATTAGTCGTGGCAGTGACTTGCTGTGATGCAAGAAACGAGGAGAAGCAATGCGATGCATGGAAGAATTCAGGGTGCAATGCACAGCTGCAATGCAGAGGGGGCGTGTGATGGCATATATATGCAAGGCGGCGCCTAAGGCCAATAGTTGCACTCACATTCTGAACCTCATTGCTCTGCAAAGTCTTCGTTGC